CTCGGGACGAGCAAAGCTACGTCGAGGCTGACGTCGAGGGGATGGCCTAGTCGTTCCAGCCACCGAAGCGGCTGCTTTTGTACGAATTTTGAGTGACGGGTTAATCTTGTATAATCTTGTAGGGGGACAATAGCGACTTCTGGTACACACAAAAGGGATTCTCGGGAAGATTGGAGTTCCTCATCCCCTCTTCTCTCGTCGTGGCCGGAGGCGAGACACTCACCGTCACTAGCTGTCAAGGTTCCTAGACGGGCATTACAAACGAGGCGTTAGCGAGATCCACCAGGTGCTTTTTGCTAATAGTTTCATTCGTTTTAAAATTTCTTTTCGTCACTTTTTTAACAAGATATTGGTGTGTTTGATCTGATACTGTTCCTTTAAACACATTTAGACCAAAAAACGAGCGCCGAACTTTCGTTGTAGTATCCCTTTAAGACTATCATGACTTCAATGTGACAAGACTCTCGAAGCGTTTTTAAACAATATTTTGGCTGCATTATTCGGTTTAGGGGTTCACACACGAATGATATCACCTTTCCAAGGTTTATCAAATACCGCTGCTGGTATTATTTCATGTATCGTCGAACACATCACAAGATGCACCTACATTAATATTTTTTTAAAGGTAAAACCGTACATGTGACATAAAAATGGTGAAATCGAGTGAAACCTTGCTTTGTTAGAAATAAACACCATTGGCGCAAAATATACAACACATTTTATTTTTGAAGCAGACGCAATTAAAAAAATCCACTGAGATATTTCGGACCCGTGTAGAGTTGAACAAAATTTACAAAACACCTCCCTTCTGGTATAAATACAAGCAATATAAGAGATGCACACACCTGGCCATAATGGGATCGATGAGTTTCTTTGTAGATAAAAGTTGGGGGAAAACAAAATTAGAATATTATTAGTGCAACAAGTGCACGACAATGTTCATAAGCACGCAGGAGGGCACTGTAAGATAACACGAACGTGACGCTCCGCGTATAATGGACAAATATATTGGTGGGAACTGAGGCATTACCCCTTGCTGTCTTTCAAAAGGAAGGGCTTGAACGATTCGCAGTTTCTTGTGCTTCGAGCCCGGCTGAAGTTATTGGGTCTCATGTTGATGAACTCCGGGTTCGAGGAGCTGAACTTTGGCCATGGGTCGTTGGACGATGGAACTGTTACTTTTCTGCGAAAATGTACATGCAAATATTATACGGTCAATTACAACTGTCTTCATGTCTGAACATAATTTTTTTTGTTCACAGCAGCGGTAAGCGTCAAATCTTTGGAGAAAGTAACAAGACAAAGCCACCGTTCTGCATCTCGTAGTATTTTGGACAAGAGAGAGGATCAAAATACAAGGAGAAAATGTACGTCTTCCTGCTTGTTAAACAAGAAAAAAAAGTTCTGCCTTCCTTGCTTCGCTGTCAGTGAAAAAGGAAGACGGAATCGTCAGAGTCTGCGTAGAGCTGCATCTAGCAAGAAAAAGTGTCGCATTTTATGTACCTTTCTAGCACTTATCACCCGGCCGAAAAATGCTGAGTCACTAGGCTGGGGACGGAAGCGCAGCGTCTGATGTACCGCACAACAGAGCAAAGTCGCATGTTCAGAAGGTGTTGAACAGCCTAGTGTCGCCTAAAGGGACAATGAAGACGATTTTATTTAATTTTTTGAAATGGTGTTTTAATGCTTCTTGGGAACATAGCATGCCGCCCAATTTTTTCTAGACATTTATGACGCGTATTTATGTGCCGACGAAAGAAGTAAAGAAACCGAAACTGAACCATCTCCAGTCTCGTTTCTGGGCCTCCGAAAACGGAGGTGACGTAGGGAGCGACGTCACGTGTGAATAGTCGGTATCGGTAGTATTTAGGAGATCGAGACTCTGGTTACCGCGGTGGGTTATAGCAGCGCGGTGGCGCGGTCGTTGCGCAGACTCTGTCAATATGGTCAACATGGACGAATGCCGCTCTCGCGAGCGAGTTCGAGCTTCCGTTCAGTGACCGAACACCAACGGAACGGGAGTACGTGTGTGGCGGCCACTGCCATCACCCGACGGAGACCGCCCAGCCGGCAACGAGCGGCCCGCATGCCGAAGGACGGACGCGGGGGAGATGCCGAAGGGAAAGCGGCAGCGATCCCGCCGTTCCGGGATCCGGTTCCTCCGCGGACGTCTTCTTTTTGTCGTCAAAGAACACCAACAGCTACCCACACGTGAAAACTAGCGTCGCCCGAACGAATACTGGTCTTCAGTCGACCGTTAGAACAGCCATCTACAGCTACCATTGCAAAATCTTTCGAGTACCGTGTTCTTTTTTAATTTTATTTTGTTGGCCCATAGTTGCTCGTTGCCGGTTTCGCGTTCAGCGTAGCAAAGAAAAAAAACAAACAATGATGCTGCTTTAATTACGGTTTAGTAATCATTTCCGATCCGATTTATACTTTTGATGGTTATTCAAGCGGAAATTAGAACAGTATTTCTAAAAATCGCGAACTAAAACGTGACCGAGAGCACGTCTCTCGTTTCGACCAATCGCTGACGCGTCTCTTGTGACGTCGCGCTCCTTGGCCCCGCATCGGTCACGTGAGCTCCGCTTCTCCTGACCTCTCCCGCAACACTTGGGGCGTCGCCCCAGTCGATCCCGGTACGATTATTACCGCGACTGTTTAATTGATTTGCGCGGCACACAAGCGCCGGTTTCGGCTGAAATTTGGGCAGCGTGGCCTGAGACGTGCCTGGAACCCAGTTCAATCGCCAAAAATATTTCCGAAATTGCCTTCATTGTCCCTTTAACTCCTCAAACACAAAGTTGGAGCCGAAAGTTCGCGGAGCGCCTGACGTCGGCGAAAAAAGCGCGAAGTCATCGTCGTGATACGGAGGCCATGTCCGAGCGAACAAGTGTGTTTCTGGTCGTCGCCGCTGCAAAAGCTGTGCGCTGACTTCCAGATTCCCCGAGAAATGGCTCTTTGGTGCACAGTGCTACCAGATCCTCGCGCTCCAAATCTGCTACCGGGCACTATATGGTTCCGTCGTTAAACTGCCAGGATTTCTGAGTATAAAGGAGGCTATACTGGTACACAGACGCCAGCACGTACAGCGCGTGGAACTACACTCGTAGCATGCTCCTTGGTGCTTGAATAATTTAGCGAAAGTCTAGTGCGATGCAAATCCAAGCACTGTGCGTTTGCGTTAGCGTCGCCCAGAGCCATTGAGAGAGTTTGGCCAATGGGCGGAGCAAAGGCCGCCGCCAGCGCCGAATACTCCCCCCATGCACGGTTTGAGCGTAAACTTAATATGTGACACGGCGTCGACCAATCAACCGACCGCGACGTCACAAGATTGGAAACGACATTTAAAGCGTGAAATAGAAGCGCTTAATCTCCGTGTCTCGGTGACAGTTTGCTCTGGGCCGGCTTTCTAGAACAGTGTCTTAGCTGAGACTGACTGAAAGAAAACAGTGCAAAGACGATTATGACGATGACAGGAAGCTACACCGGGTGACCGCGTTGCTACGTTCTAGTCCTGGACGTCGGTGCATTGGGGGCAGCAGCCGTCTACTTCGACTGGGCCACCACCTAGAGCCGCTGCCTTCAACGAAGCGAACGATCGCGCCATCAACCTCCGGGGCTTTGCCATCCAGAACGAACAGCCTGCCGAACTTTGGCTCGCTGGCCTACTGGCCTGAACCGACGCCGAACCTCCAAACTCATGCGGCGGATCAAAAGAGTACGTCGTCCTCACCACGACCAAACCGCAAGGGCCTTTGCAGCCCTAACGAACGGTGAGGCCTCCGGACACCGCCCTTTGCCAAGACGCTTCTACCAGCTGACAGAAGTGTCTTGGCAAACCCCGAACTTTTGGGCAACGGTGCTTGCGATGCTGAAAAGACAGCGTCGTCCTCCCCTTGTACATATCATCTCGTCATCATCATCACCATCATCACTAGACGTGGCACCGCGGGTCTCCATGGTACGGACTGTCGCCTTTCCGCGGTGCCACGTCTCTCCTGAGCCAATAAATATTATCCTTGTTCTCATCCTAGAAGGGTGGGGTGCGCGAGCGTCTTGAGACGCGGCTTGAGTCCCGCTCGGCTCGTGCGCTGGCATAAGCAGTGCTTTCCTTTCCCCAGTCTCAACTGAGACGGTGTATCTAGCAAGTCGGCCCTGGTTTGGAGCACACGTTCATCTATTCTACATATGAATATGGACGTGACGAAAGCCTCACATCCGCCAAGTTTTCAGTCACCAAGAGTTACACCTTTTTACTCCAGCGACACTAAAACGGCTTAAATTAGTCGAGTCGCATTTTTAGAGCTCATGATCACCACTAGAGGCTGTTTTGCGGCCTGTGGTTGGCCTCGAGATGCTTGCCTATTCAAACCGATATATGACCAAACTTTCCTAATACACGGTTCTGGCGTCGCCTAGAGTTCCTGCATAGCTCCCCCGAAGGAGGTAGCATCTACAGGAACTCTAGCGTCGCCTGCTCCGCACTGCCCCTTGCGCCATACGTACTCAACGAAGCGAGCTATACTTACGTACGCAGCGGCCCTCTGCGTGCTTTTCTCGTTACTCTCGCCGCGAGCGGAACAGCGCGAGATTTACATTGACCTGACTGAATACCGCCCTTATATATATTACTTGGAGCAGTTTGCACAGACACATCTCGATGGCGCTGCAAGTGTTCGCGTACGCGTATTCGTTTGCGTTCCGATCTACTAAAAGCGCTGCTTTGTCGCACTCCGCAGCGTTGCGCTGAGAGCTTTCGTGCGTCGTACGCAGCGCCAGTGCACGGGACTTTGCGCTATTATAACACTGTCTAATATAGCTAGCAAAATGAACATTTCAACCTTAAAGTGAGCTCTACTTAAACTTTTGTAGTAAAATAGCTGGTATAAATAATCGTAAGCCAAACTTCAGAAAACCCTTGTATTAACAACGACGGTCTTTGTTATCGAGTGGAAAATGGGACTCTAAAATACCACGAACAATTATACAACCACTCACCCGGTTTTGATAAATGATGACCAGATGCCGACGATCTGCTTCATGAAGTTGTCCTCTTCTTCTGTGTACTTCAACTTTGAGAGGAGCTTGCTTTCAGAGGGGCCCAGAGGGGCGGTGTGACGACTCGTGTCCGCAATAAAAGGCAGCGATCCAAAGGTAAACAGAAGTTCGTCGGAGTGCGTTGGCCCAAACCATTTCGGCCACAAGCTGTACGATGGACGATGGTCAAAGACGTACCTGTAGGTTGGGATTCCCTGTTTTGCAGAAAGGTCCGCAAAAAGATCTGTCGGGCAGTTCATTAATATATTTCCCACAGCTTCAGAGAAAATCCTAATTACTGTGGCATGGTCATGTTCTGTCCCTTCGTCTCCGAAGTATTCGATCACTATAGCTTTTGCTTGTTTTAAGGGTATCTGAAATATGATAGAAAGTCCGAACGTAGCACCGAGTCTGTAGTCAAGCTTCAGTACTGACTCCAATTCAGGGGCCGCGTAACGTATGTTGTCAACGAATAGGGAGCCTTCGTCAGTGGTCGTTCCGGCCAATATCTCCTTCACGTGAAACTGCTTCCACGTAGATTCAGAAAGGGGGTCGGAGGGAATAAATTCGTCTCCGAAAACGGGGGAGAAGAGTTGATCCATTTTGTCCTGTTTTTCCAACGTTTTAAAAATGGCACCGGCGTCAATGTTTCTCAAACAATGTATAATGGTATCAACTTCCTTGGTCCATTGATTTTCTGGGTTGTAGCAGTTGAGTTTTGCTGCGATGTCAAGAAACCTTTCAGAACCACTGTAAGTGAGGCCCAGTATCAAACTCAGCGGCGACCCACTTTGCATAATTATTCTGTGGAAGAGGCCCTTGCTGTGCGGTGAAGTTGCATGCAATCCAGCAGAAATGGCTCCCGCGCTATGTCCACCGAGAGTGACGTCGTTCGGATCTCCTCCAAACCGGTGGATGTTTTTCTGGACCCAATTCAACGCCAGGTGCTGGTCCCAGAAACCCACGTTTCCCGGGAGCTCGGGCGTGCCCACAGAAAGAAACCCTAGCATGCTAAGCCTGTGGTTGAAGCTTACAAATATTACATCCGATAATGCTACAAAATTGGCCGCATCGTAGAGAAACAACCCAGAGTCACCCCACTGGAAGCCGCCGCCGTAGATGAACACGACCACCGGAAGCTTCTTGTCACAAGAACCGCCACAAACTCCGGATGGTCTCCACACGTTCAGATAAAGACAATCTTCGGTCGAGCTCGAGTAATTTAAGGTAACGTCTTTGAGAAACCGAATGTCAAGTTGTTTACACGCCGTCGGTTTTGTCGTCGCATTGTAGGTGCCGTTCCAATGATCTGGTGGAAGTGGCTTTCGGAATCGGAGTTCTCCTACCGGTGGCTTCGCGTAAGGGATCCCGTAGAAGGCGTCAACGTGTTTGCCGCTGATCTGGAATTGTCGCCCGGCCACAAGACCCGAGTTCGTCTCCACCACCGGTCCAGAACACAACACGAAGTTCAGTGTGCAGACCACGAGCACGATTGAAAATTCCGCTGCTAGGCAACCAGTTTGAATAAAAGACATGCTACTATAGAGAATCTCACGCGTGCAAAAATACACACTATGTACGAAAGACTCGGCCGTCCCCTGGATAACCGCTACTTGCTGAGAGATCTCGAGTCTGATCAGCCCCTTTCGCGCACTTTTAAGTTTTACCTTGGAGATGCGTTGTGGAGAGAGAAAAATAATTGAACGTGAGGGGAATGTGATTTGACATGTCATAATTGGTTTAAAATCCCGGAGGAGGTGGTACCTGGAATTCACGTAAACAACTCACTCGTCAAGTACCCCAAGGACGACTTTTATTTCGCATTAACGTTGTTTCGCCCGCCGTACGGATTTTCGCAAACATTAGATGAGAAAGAAAATAGCTCTGCAGCCTTTCTTTTTACTAATGCCTTTTCGCACGTGCCTAAACTGAAGGGCGTACCTCCGAGACGCTTACTCTAGCACATAACTTACGCTTAAAAAGCATAAGCTAATTTATAAATGTCTAAAACGCAGGAAAAGATATAAAAGACAGAGTTGCCACAAGGCATTGCCCATTTTTATCATTGCTACAACTTGTTTTTCTTTTCTGCAAAAAAAGATTTACGATGAATTTGATACATTTTTCCTTGTGTAATAAGGATATAACGTAACATATTGAATGTGTTATCCACTTGGAATTATCCGCGAATATTTGGTGTTTTTGTATGCATTGTAGCGTATAATTATTGAATTACGAACCGCATATTGCCGCATTTGTTGCTTACAGATTATGCATACGTGTTCGATTTTGCGACGCGAGATTCTTTTTATATTTATTTTCATACGCATCCCAATCCATCTTCTAATTGCTTGGCAATTGCTATGTTTAGCATTATTCTCTACCACGTTACCTTATCTTCTTGACGGCCTTTTTTTCCTTGTAGCAAACGCGGTGCTGTTGACGGAACGTTTTCTGACTTCTTTTTTTTAAATGAGGGCATTCGAAGTAAAGATATTATTCCTTCGGAATAATTAATTGCTCGCCGAAAGCGCCAGTGGAATGTTATGTTGACAGTGTTATGTCAATTGAACAAGTTAAGCGAGTATATTTTAAGCGTTTTGCGGTGTTCACACGAGAGAGAAACCCTTGGAAGGACCTGCGTGAGGTCAGCCGGCTACGCGTGTCTCCTCGCCTCCGACGCAGAGCCAGCGTTGGAGTCGAGGAGTGTTTGTACCGTCTGAGCATTTTCTCCGCGCTTCCGACGCGAAGCCTGACGTCGCCGCGCCGCCTCAGAAAGGCGTGACGTCAGCATCACGTGATGCGCATTCCGCGAGGCGGACTGTCTAATTTTTTTCTCGTGTGAACGGTGTATAAACTACACCCGATATAAAGACCTTAAGCGATACTTATACTTGTCATAAATTCCTGTACCGCGATGGATGTATGAAGCAACCTGTGGTTGTAGAAATTACGTGGTTAGAACAACAGGATCATGCTATGTAAAAAAAAGTCTTCCAATTAGCTCGAAGCGTTGATGAATTGGCTTACGAAAAAAAAAAATCATTTCATATGAGACATAGCCTGCGCATGATATTCTTAGTTTCTAAAATAAGGGGAATAAATATAACGAGAACCGCGGCTTGAGAAAGTTAACGATCATACAACTTGACAAAGTTTCTCGTATTGGGAGCCACTCTGTCAGCAACTTTGTGAACGAAACACAAAGTTAACCGGACACAAGGCATAAACCCATTATGCAAATATAAATTGACGCTGAAAAATGCTTTTGTCAGTGAACAGCCGCTGTTTTTGGTGCATTTGAGTCGGTTAATTGGCGGGCATTATCCCATATTATTAATTGAAATTGAGGCCCGTTCTGGTTCAATTCATTATTCCCGAGGCAATATGGGATCTATTATCATTTCATCATTCCTCTAAGATGTAGGATATTGCAGTGCACTCCATATTGGGCATGCCCCACTTTCCCCGTGTGCCTACCAAAAAATTATGACAATTTTGATACTTAAATAAGTAAGCACGCTTTGATAGATCAATAAAACTGCTGGAGCAAGACACTTAAAAAATTGGAGATTTCAGTTGTACGAAACGAAACACTTAAGTCATCGGGATTAACAGCCAGCTTGAGCCGGTTATTGACACTAATTTTAAGCACAGATACAAAGGAAATTTTATTTACATATTTACATGCTTGGTAGAAGAGCGTGTTGGGTTAAGTCATGGATGAAGAAAGAATAAACAATTAAAACAGGGACAACACAACCACATGAAAGATGTGGTTGTGTTGTCCCTGTTTTAATTGTTTATTCTTTCTTCATCCATGACATATTTACACATTGTATACTGTCGAACGGTGCAAGAGAAACACAGAGGCAACAGAAATGCTGAAGCAAAATGTCATACGCTCTTTGAACAGTTCCTAACCTTGCCCAGTTGTATTGGTTGGAAAGGAAGATGAGTCGGTTTGTTTCTGTGTGGATTAGAGCGAACTCAACGTCACTCAGAAAAAAAGAAAAAAAAGAAACACATTTTCAATGCTTCACACCGATGACGCCATCTTCGGGGAGCAAAATAATAATCTTCGTTGGAACTAAGATCAGGATACTGGGCAGATCCCAATCTCAGACTCAGGCGAACTAAAAACGACGTTCGTGACACCCGACGGCCTATTTAAAGCATAAAATGCTTTTAACGCCACCCCCTAATCATAAAATATTGTCCGTCCTTTCATCCGTCCGTCCAACCGTGCATTTTTTTTTTACTAAATTTAGCCAGAAAGGTGGCGTCACGTGACGTCACATGACGTCACCTGACCTATACACCTCAGGGGAATTGACGGCACGTCACCTACACGTCAACCCAGTTTGTCCGCTATATTTAACGGGCACATTCACATATTGTGGCCAAAAGATCAATTCAGTTTCCCCTCTAAACTTGGCGGGAAATTGACGTCACGTGACCTATACTTCAATTCAGTTACCCACTGAATATAGCGGGTAAATTCATCTCTTGTGACTTAGACACCAATCCAGTTTCCTCGCTAAATTTGACGAGGAAATATGGACGTCACGTTACCTGACTTTACGTGACCTATGCTACCATTCAGTTCCCCTGCTAAATTTAGCGGGAAAATATACGTTACGTGCGGCGTGCCACACCGATTCTCTATAATGCATTCATGCATTATAGGACTTAGAAAATGAAGGTTGCTCCTGGCAATATTAAAGTTTAACATCATACCATTTGGCCTCTGTAACACGCCGGCAACATTTGAAAGGTTGTTCGACTCGATAGAGAATTTTCGTAGATGGTTTTCGCCATCCTGCAACGCTCTCCGCAAACCGCTACTACAGTGGCTTAAAGTGTGTAGTGTATTTACCGCGTACCTTCCACCATGCATCGGGAACGGCCGCTCCTTGGAAGACGGTGTAGGTGGCGCTTCGATCTGCAGCTCCGTTGGGTGCCTCAATCGGCCGGCAGATAGAGGCACCCTAACACGCTTCATAACTAATATAAATACCTCAAAAACAATTATTTTTTTTTCCAGTGAACTCCCAACGACATGATTTTGTGTTTGAAGGTGAATAAAAATGTGAAACTAGCAGACGACAGTGTAGTCGACAGCTGCGAATTGGCCGGAGCTGGCCGGAGCCAAGCTGACCAAGCGGCCAGGTCGGATCCATAGCCGGAACGACGGTGCTGCAAGCGCCAGCGCCACCCGCGGCCGTCTTCCAACGCTGTGCCGCTTTCCGGTTTCGTTCGTTACACTACCCCCATAAGCCACTGTACCGCTACAATACCCGGAACCCTACAATCAAGGCCATCGGCGCGCAGGTGCATTAGCGGCTTCGTTGAGGAGGGCTTAGCAGAGGTGGAAAAACGGTCTACGAAAACTCCCTAATTTTTTGTGGCTTAAAATAGCGTAAATGACGTTGTTATCTTAACAAAAACATTATTAGTTTTTTTTTTTTTAAGAACGCTTTGTCCGTTTGTTAGAACTTTTGCATTGCATAACTGGTGCAAGCTTAGAACTGTATGCAAAATAATCCTCCGCAAGGTTGGGGGCCAATGTAAGGTGGAGGTCAAGATGTTTTCTAGAGGAATGACCTCGGTCCTGCTCCCTGCTTTTTCAGAACTCGCAGTTGTGCCAGTGACAGCTTAGCCCTGGTTTGTTTATAGTACTACTTTCTGCCCTCACTTGATATGGTCAAAAAATATTCAGATAATACCAACCCCACCAGTGTGCTGGTTTTTTTTTTTCTAGAACAAGAGAGCAAGCACAATGCCGTTCTTATTGCTCAGTTCACTCGATAACTAATCGGATTCAACGTGTCTCGAAACAAATAAGTAAGAACTCTTCACACGACTGTTTTTGCTTTCCTATCAATTTTTATATCAGAAGTTTGAAAAAAATATTTGTTTATTAATGATGATATTTTTTGAAGGTAAGAATCCAGAGCTCATATATTTACCTTAGGCAGTTACACCTGCTTAGGGAAAGTTCGTGCAGCCGAGGTGCATCCTTGAGCGAAGAGATCGTGCTTGCAGCCTGGCAGCAGAATTTTCGTACAGGTAATTGATATGTCAAGAAGCTGGGAAGTTAAACTTCAAATGAAGCACAAGGCGAATAAAAGAAATAATATAAACTACGTGAAAATGTTATAAAAACAGAGATACGGTTTTGAGTGGAAATATGCGAGTGACATGAGATCATTTCTAGTGCCATTTCTAGCATTCGCTAGAGAGATATAGGCACAGGCGCTCACTGCCGGTTGCCGGTGGACCGCGCCCTAGCGAGTCACGGACCGGATACTTGAGACCCCCGGCATTCATCACCCTCTCTCCAGAACTGCCCCATATAAATAGACCTCCGATCGTCAATTGTCCTTCGAAGCCTTTAGAATTGCTTTGATTTCTGATCAGACACTACGACACTTACACAAAAAGGCAGCAACTGAGCTTCACACGACGTCAGTGCCAACTTGTTGGGCGCTGTACTGCTGCAAAAACACCCTTCAAACTGTGAACCTCACGT